TTGTGTGGGAGGTTGATTCAAATGAATTGTCCCCCAGTTCCTCTAAACACTGGAAACTAACCCAATTTACACCATCCACCTTAAATAGCCCAATTTCTCCCATCTGGGCTTCACTTGCCCCATCTGTAAAATGGGCATGATGCATAAATCTGCCTGGGATACATCCCCTTGCAAATAGGGTGAGGACCCTCTTCTGCCAAGCTGCTCCCTGTCCCTTCTCAGGCCCTGTGTCAAAAGGCAAAGGGGAGGAAGCAGACTGGCTGTTTGAGAAGGTGGGGTTTCAGGGCTCTCACTGCTCTTGTGTTTATGAAGGAACCAACAGGTGTCTGCTAGTTGGATCCATTTTAGTAAAGCAGAAAGAATTGTCAGTGCCCACAGAGCTGGCAATATGATGCCCTGACTGCTTCCTTACCCTCTCCAAAAGACCCTTAAACTCCACAGACAGGTTGGATGAGGGTATCCTCGTCTCAACCACAGGAGTCCCAGGCTGCCTAGACAGGCTTTCACTGACTGTGTACATTGTCAGACTCACGTCCACACTGGCCTCGGCAGGGCTTCATGTTTTCAGAAAGATCCCCCTTGTCTTTCATTCCAGGCCCTTGGCAGGAATACTGGTCCCTTCTGCACATACAGCTCGCTCAATGGGTACAAAGAAATGGGATTAAGTTCTGGAAAAAAAATAAGTAAGAGCCCCACCCAGACTAACCCTCTGGAACTCCACCGGGGGCCACATGGCTTTGAAAACTATCCCTAGTGCTTTCTGGTCAAATGAAAGCAAGCTTCTCATGGAGGGCTGGAGACAGCAAATGGGGCCAGAGTCATACACAGTTAGTTTCAAACTTATGTTGCTGCTCACGGGGAGAAATCAATGTACAGTATATTAAAAACAATCACTGCAGCCCTTAAATGATCCGATAGTTTAGCTTTGAATGCATTCGAGCTAATGGGGGCTTTAATGGCTTCTGACAGATCATTGCATTGATCAAGGGGCATGTATGAAATACACTGCCTACTAAACTCTGTTTTGATTTTGTCAAAAGAAAACTAAGCATCCATGGTAAACAGTGTTTGATTGTTCACATAGTCCCTGGGATGCCTCTCAGCCTGACCCTGGCTGCAAGTAGTAGAGGGGGACAGTGGGAATCCTATATACCTGCCCCAGCTCTAATCACTGTAATCAAATGCAACTCACTGTCAGAAGGGTTGGGGGGGTGGGAAGATGGAAGGAGGGGACCAGGGGCCCCGTTTCCATGGTGGGTGAGTTACCAGCTGCAGTTTTTGCTACTCTGAGAAACCTATTCATCCCTTGTGGGGCTTGGGGGTTGCTTGCTCCCCATCCTTCATTTGAAAAGAAAACGTGGGTTATGAGTGGGGTACAGCCATTTTGCCAAGAAGCAAATGGCAGCACATCCACTTTCCTTGCAGTGTTTGAGGCTCTAGGATAATTTGATGAAGAATGGAACACAACTGGGCTCAGCTTTGGTGTGTTGTCACAGGGTGTATGGAGTCTGAAAAACAACAAAAAACTCAAGAGTAGCCCTTACCATACTCCTCATGGCTGTTTGGTGAGGTGGGCTTGCTGCTGGCGAAGCCTCCAGAGTGAGCCACATGCCACTGCCTTGCATGGTCAGAATTGAGAAATGTTTCGGGGCACTAGCAACACTCTCTGTGGATCTGCATGGGTTTGGGTCCTTATGTTGACATCTCCCTAGGGGGAAGAAATCACATAGAGCACAGGACCAGTGGGTTTAAGCATGAGGATCCCTCTGGCTTATAGATGTTCTTGTGTTTAGAAGGGCCAAAAGGTCACTTCAATACTGGTACCCTGAAGGGTGGGATGGTTGTTGATTTTTCCCCCTTTACATTTTTGCAGAGCTATGAATGAAACCCAGGGTCCCCATATGCTAAGCAAGTGCTCTGCCATTGAGCTACCTGTCCAGCTTCATGGGTGATCTTTATGTGACCAAGCAAGACCATCACATGGTCACCAACCAAGAGGGCCAGATGACCCAAGTGCTTGGCTCAGAACCACTGCATGTTTGAGAAAGCAGCTCTCATAGAGTAGCCTTTTACTGGTCTAAGGCCAGCAAGCTACCACCTCTGCAAGTTCAAAACAAAGGGAAAGCCCAGGCTGCAAGCCCTTCATTTGTACTGGTGCTGGATTAGTCAGTAGCTTTTGTAAAATTGATGAATTTTGTCTAAAGGCAAGTGCAGACAGGCAAACAGATCTGTATCTTCTGTGATCCATTTAGCCCGACACATATGTGGCGGGGAGCTGGTTCACCTCGATTCCTGCAGGACTGATGAAAAGTAAATGCGAACAAAGTCATGCACTGCGTCATTGGAAAAGAATCACTGAGTCTAATGGTGGGAGTTAATTAATGCTTCCCTCCCCCGAAGCGGGCTGACCCTGGTCCTTAGGCATCCGAGTCAATAAACAATTGTTGTACACAGGCCATCCATTAGAAGGTGAGGCAGGAATGTTTTTAAGCAAATCTGAAATTGCCAGGGGTGACCTAATCCTGCTGCAGTAATGGCAGTATGAAGGAACCATTTTTCATGCCATCTCATTTATAAGAAGTTCCAGGCCATCTGCTGAGAAAAAAAAAATGGAAGCTGTGAAGAGCAACTGGGATAAATATGTGCTGGTGGCATTCTCTTGTCTTTAAGCAAACTGTAGCTGGCTGCTGTGCTCTCTTTCTTGGTGACTATTGACTATTGGTTGTGGTGTTGTCGATTATAGCAACTGACAAGCGCTGAGTGATTACTGTGGTCCGATGGGATTCACTGACGGCGCCTGACTGCAGAGTGTGGGGCATGGCCAAGTGCTAGCCCACATCTCCATCTACCCCCACTGGGTCAATGAAGACTGGATTGCAGAGGTAAGCCGTTTGCCTGAGTCACAAACCAAGGACTTCGATGTCAGCCGGTACTTCCTGAAGACCTGTGCATGCTAGCCCTGTATGCCCTTCATGACCTACTCAGGCAATAGTAACATTACTACACCTTCCATTTTGTAGACAAGAGAAGAGGTGTGAAAAGCATATGTAGCCTTAGGGTCACACATCCACAACTAGTGTAGACCCAGAAAGCCTGTACCCAGAAGCCTCTACTGTCACTCAGGACTCAGGTTTTGGGAAATCAGATGTCAACAGAATAGATGGGCATGTGCCTAAAGGAAAACTAGCTTCCAAAGTCAGAAGATTCTCACTAGATACCAGAAAGAACCTGTGTTGGTTAAGGTTCTAAGGGGAAAGTGAACCGTATGGTGAGAAGAGGAAGTCAGAGTAGAGGATTATGGATGTGTCTCTTTGGGATTATGGCCAGGCTGCAGCAAGGGGTCTTGGGAGGACATTCTGCCTTGCTGTGCTACACACAACAGACATGGGAATGGACCCTTCAGTCCCTTTCCTGGAGTCACCAGCACACTCTGGAGTCTATCCAAATCTCTCCGTGTCTCAGGGCAGCAAGAGTACTCCTTTGCTGACAACCACAGAGAACAGCCTCCCAAACACAGCAGCAGTCCTGGGTGCCCTTGTCCCCTTTCAGAAGTCATTATAGCAGGCCTGCCTTCTCTGTCCTCCCAGAGCTGCTGGCTCTCTGTGGCTCTCCCAGCAGTCTCAGTGGCAGTCATTACAACCCGCCTGCGCCTTCCTCCCTCTTTATGGTTGTCAAATTGATTTCACCACCTCGATACCTATGGCTCCCAATGAAACTTAATTAAAAATACCATTTAATCACAGAGTAACAAAGGCAAACTGGATAAACGCATTACCACTTCAGCGCCTTTTAATCCGCGCCGCTTCGCTCCATCTGAACCTGTTTGGATGAGAATTGCCTTTTCAAATCAGAATCCCCTTGTCTTCCATGCACTCGCCTCTGACAGATCCCCAGAATAAACAGTATTTAGCGTGGCATGGATCCAAATGTATGCAATTTGCCCAGTGGTAAAATCAGCCTTAACTAGAGCAGGCCAGAAAAAAAAAAAAAGTTGCACTGGAAAATACCTTCCCTGGAAACGTATACCAAGCCTGTGCCCCAGCATTAGGCAGGGCTCATGCAATCTCATTTCTGGCACCCCTCCACTCACTTAGTGATGGATTTGGAAGCTTATTACTAAAATTGTGTCAGAAGCCATGCTATGACCCTGCCCTTTTCTGTTTAGAAAACTGTCAGGCAGGAGGCTGCTGGTAAGAATGGGAATGGATGGGCTATTGTGGGTGCTGCTCAGCAAGGCCTCTGCACACTGGAGGTGGCTGCTTGCATCTTCCCACCACATGGAATTCCTGGCTGCCAAGATGGTCCCCTGGAACTGGGCCTGTTCATTCCCATGACCCTTAGGATCCAGGCATTAGTTGGAGCAATGGTTGAAAGCATAAACTATCTCATCAAGTTGCCCCCACCTGTCCTGTGGAAAATCCTCCACATTTCCCAGGGAATACTGCTTCTGTTTCTGCTCTAGTGGGGATGGCAGCACTCGCCTGGCTTTCTCTGCCTGGGTTACAAAAGCCCTTTTCCTTCCCTAAAGCCACCTTTACAAGGGCCCCCAGCCTTGTAGTCTTTGTGACTGTTATCCTCTCTTCTGGAAAGGTCTTCCATACTGCCCCAGGATAATTTACCCTTCTCTTCTGTTACTAGTGATCTAGTGACCACTAGTTCCCCTCCATGTCCCACCTAGGTATTTCCCTTCCAAGCACAAGCATCTAGGATGATCTTGTCACAGCATTGGTTTCTTGTCTGTCTCCCATGACAGTATAAATTCCTGGGAGCACCTGGAAGGAAGACAGAGATTGGTAGTAGGATCAGACCTATGGCTCCCCACACTGCTAGAGTCTGAATAGAGGAAGGCCAAAGCCCCTGAGGGTAGTAATGCATCTTTTAGACCACTTTCCTCAAATGGGCTATAACCTGTCAGCCAGGAAAGACTAGTAGGGAAGCAGGTAGGAGCTACTGAGAATGTGAGAACCACTTCCATCAACCCAGCAGCCCCTCTGTCACTCTTTGGTTTCTCATCTTTGTGTTCTTTATTGTGTATGAACGGGTGCACACAGCACAGCAGTACAAGCAGACCATGAACACAGTTCAACAGGAGGAACACACACTGAGCACGCGACACTACTGCTTTCTACTAACGGGTGTGAGCAAGCAGGTTTAGAAAGCACTGTTGGGGGATCATGTTTATAAAATGACGACAAGGAGTAGCAGGGTCGTAGCAGAGCATAGAGGTCACAGACACTGCCAAGCCACTGCCATGCGGGTATAGAGACCCAGGAGCACATAGGCATTCTGACTTCTAAAGAGAATGCAGAAATTTTTATTTTATGTGGAATCTCCCCAATTTTTAATTTTGGCACCTAATGGAATAGAGCACAGAAGAAATATCATGGGGCCTAATAAACCAGAGCCTGGCAGCTGGGGATGGTGGTGGTGGGCCAACCTGTGACATCTGAAGCCACCTACACCTTACTTAGGTCATTTCATTTCATCTATGGCAGTACCCTCTGAGAATGGACCTCACCTCTCTACTAATGAGGAAGCTGCAGTTCAGTGACAAAAGAGGACACATCAAGGCCTAAGAGACTTGGGTCCCTACACTAGGAAATCCTAGCTGCTTTGTAAAATGCAGCTCCTGTGGCTAATTCTGGGCTGGAAGGCATCTCAGATGGAATCCTGACTGCAGCAAAAACACTGTTGTGTACCCCTCCACATGCAGAAGGTCCCGACCAATACCACAAAGTCATAGGCTGAGGGAAGGGGCCACCGAAAGACCTCAGGCCAGCAGAAAGAGATGTGGGCCATGAGCCACAGATAGCAAAGGACTGCTGCGGGGGAGGAAGACTGCTACAGCCAGGGCAACTCACATAACAACACTAATATGTATCAGGTGTGGAGCTAGGTATGCTAGACATTGCTTCAGGTCTGTAGCTCCGTCATGTCACTTAATCTTCATATTTAGCAGTTGACACTTTTAACACCTCCCACCACACAGATGAGGAGGCTGAGATACAAGGACATGCGAAGGTCACAGAGTGAGTGGGAATCCTGGCACTTGGAAATTAGAATTCAGGCTTAACATTTCCCTATAGCCTGTGACGCTCTGGCATCACTGGGATGGGGAGTTGGGTCCTTCAAGTTCCCATACCACCTGCCAGTACCCACAAATGGGGGAATTCTAAAAGAAACGCTAACTCCATGAAATAGAGTCTACAGGGCTGGCCTGTCATTGGATCAGGGAAGCCCCGTAAAGCCAGGATGTGGCCATTTCCTTTGTTGTTCCTTCCTCTTCCTGTGTGCAGTGTACAGGGCAATCAGTCAGGCCCTCTCTGAGCTTTGTCTCTGAGAAGAAGGGAAGAGTTTACTGTTCAGCAATTGCTTTTCCTTTCTTTCCTCCACGGTTACGGCAGCAATAGTCACTACAGAAAACCGTAAGAGGGGGTGCCTGCTCATAAACTTGAAACATGGAAACATCCATATGTTGTCTAAAACCACAGTCACCGGTACCCTCCTGCTAGGCACTTGACTTGTGGCCAGAGGAATTTTTAACTATAATCGAGCTGAATCTAAGTCTGCACAGCCACAGTGAGCTAGTAACTGCCGTTTTGGATGGCCCAACTGCCAGAGCCAAGGTGAGAAGCTGGGATGGGTCTCTCCAGTTCTGTGGTCCCATGCCTGGGTCTCCTCCCAGTCTCTGACGGGGCTAGCCCAAGAGGAAAGAAGGTGAGGCTTGTCACAGGCTTAGCTCGTCCCTGTTGCCACCCTGGGGACAAAAGGGCTCCCAAAGGGGCAAAAAAGTTTGGGGAATACTTTTTGGGGTGTGTGTGTGTGTTCTAGTTTAACACCAAATCAGACTGAAACACTGAGTGATTGATTATTCAACATTTTAGTATTTGTGAGCTTTATTTTCTAACTGTCTTGAACTGAAACCCAGGTCCTATTACCTACAGGTTGAAAGGTGTCTACACTACCCTTGTCCAAGGTTTGGGGAGGAAAGCCAAAGATATCTTTTTCTTCTCCCCTGAAGAATTGTGCTTCCTCTAGGGTCTTGCTTCCAGAAGCAGGCCTCTGAGCTCTGAAACCACTTCTGTGAGGTCAAAGGGCAGAGGCATGGAAGGGTCATCCTTCTCCCAGTAGGGTCGGCAGTCTGGCTTCTGATGAGCTGGTAAAGACCGGACAATTCGGGACTGGCACCTAGGAGAGGAAGAGCAGCAGTTAACCCACTGGGAAAGCACCGGAAGTTCCAGGCTTCTGGGAAACTCGGAGACTAACACTGGCAAATGCTCCAACAACAGCTGTGACAGGGGAGGTGAAGGTGAAGTGGGAGGAGATGCTTGCCAGGCAGAAAGAACACATTTCTGAGGAAAACCTGTCCCTCTGAATGTTGCAGCTTCAAGTTTTTCCAATTCCCCATCTGTATTATCTCCAGTGGCTTCAGAAAAGCCAATCACCAGGGAAATTGAGTTACTCTGCCTTTAAAATGGTGAATTATTTTTTCATTATCTCAACAGTTATTTAAAGTGTGTGATTAAGCCATTATCAGATTTAAATGTTTGTGGGATTTCAATGTATTACTAGATTACTGGGAAAGATTAAATTGAATTTACTGCATTAAAACGTCCAAGAATAGATTAAACAATATTACAGACCAGGATTGACTTTGGAGATCCTGGAGATTTACAAGTGTCCCAGCTTGCTGGGCTCAGAAAAAAAGGCACTCCAAGGAGAGAGAGGTTTATAAGGATATATGCAAATAGAGGTTAATAATCATTTCCGCTGATGAATAGGTGGAGAAACTTCCACCAAATTAAATTAAGAGGCTAGCAAGAGTTAGTCCCCAAGGAAAACACTTAAATCACCGTTTTTATTAAATGGATTATTCATCAATACTAGAGAAATTAATTATCATATGCTACTAAATTCTAGCCTGGTAGGAAAAAGTTGGGGTGACACCCTCACATCTCTGAGGCACCACCCTCTTGGAGAGTTGCACTCATCTAAAACTGGGCTTGGGAAGTGCTTTGGTTTCAGTTCCAGTTATCTGAAAAAATGAGGGTCACAGAAAAAGAAATGGGTGCAATAAGTGATGAATGATTTCTTATAGGCAGAGCACATACACCAAACCCGTGAACTGCAACAGCTGTGTGGGCGCCCCTACCTCTGCCCTCCTCCTTGTTGTCAGTTGAAGAGTGGCCACACCCACTTGAAGTCATAGGACTCAGTAAGACCCTCACAGAAAGCTATTTCTTCTCTGGGGGATTATTAATGGTGAGGGGATTCCCAGGGGAAAGCATACTTCAACTTTACACCTATTTTCGAATGTGGTTAATTGCTATACCGGCATCCTCTGCACTCAATCCGTCGTACATTACACGTAACATTCCAATATATCTTCTGCTCTCCGCATCAGACCCTGATAATAGCGTCTGTTAACACGCACTAAGTACTATTATGTAGCACATCACTTCATAAATAATAAGATTAGCTGACCTCGGGGCCCCAAGAAGAGTAATGTGTTTAAATGTTCTCATTATTTATTTAAAACAAGAATTAAAGCAACAGAAGCAGCCCCTGACAATCCTCTTAGCATAAATATTCAACTGTTTGTGCTGATAAGCACACACGGCATGGAGGGGCAGAGGGCATGCTCTGCAGCCTACTTCATAATAGGTGCTGGAGCCCACGCTGCTTGCTGTCGCCCTTCTCAGGGTGCATCTCTGCAACTCCTGCGACAGTCTCTAAATCACTTGAAAGAGACGAGAGGGAAATTAATATTCAAGGGAAGCTGCGACTAATTACAAAGGGACCCAGCAAAGCTTTTTAAATTGTGCTTTCTCTCGACCTCAGAATAGCAGAGTAATGCTCAATTTACTGGGTAGGGAAAGTTATTCCAAATTGAGCATTTCAATCTCACAGTGGATAAATTATCCGTGCACATATTATCCTGCTTGGCAGATTAAAGGGCTGTGATAAGTGTTGATCCACCTAGAATATCATAAGGTTTGTAAAAAGTCAATAGAGATGCTTTCTCAGCTGTCAAATGGTTTTGCCTCCTCACTTTGAGAAAGTATTAAAAATCTTCAGACCCATGGCAGAGCTGTGTGCATTCTGGCCTGCTTCTGGGCAAGCTGCTTCCCAGCTTGCTGCCACTGTTCTCACCAAGGTTGGCTGTTGAGGGACCTACCTGATGTCATAAAGACTGTGGCAGGCTTGGGGTGATTGTCACACACACACACACACACACACACACACACACACACACACACACCTACTGACTCCATATGGGTTGGGACAAGAACCTTTGTTGAGTTTCTCAGGGCCTCAATTCAGCTATATTAAGATTGCTGTAAAATTTTTCTCTCAATGGCCAGTATTCCTTGCTAATTTCCAAATGCCAGTGCAATAGCTAAGCAGGTTTCCATGTTTGAGAAGGGACTCCCACCCCCCTCCAGCTACACCAGACTGTAGAAGGGGATGAAACGGGGTTGAGAATGATCTGAAGGCTTGTGCCCTTTCAGCTGTTATGTTTTATATCTTGCTCAAATCACCTGTCTGCTAGACAGGTGGCCTTAGGTGGGGCAGTAGGGGAATGGCAGCATCAAGGGTCATACTGTGTTCTCTGGAGGTGCTGCTTCTGAGGGACACACCATTTGGGAGCTGTGGGTTCTTGGCTATCTAATGGTGGTGATGGGAATAATGACGACAATGGTCCAGTAGTTCCTGCTACCTATACATTTTTTTTTCAGTTACCCACAGTCAACCAATGGAAAAGTCTAGAAATAATTTACAAGTTTTAAGATGTGCACAATTCTGAGCAGTGTGATGGGTGTTCCACCCAGGATGTGAGTCACCTGTGTCTCTCATAACCCTGTAAGTACACTATACAAGCTACTTCATCCATATTGCCATGATCTGGAGTCACAGAGAGCAGACAATCCTCCTGACATAATGTCAGGAGGTCAATAGTGGCCCGAAGCTGCATAAAAGCACCTATGTTATTGTCACCCATCTCAGCTCACCTCCTCATTGTAGGCACCTCACAGTACTACCCTCAGGGTGAGTGGAGCATAAGGCATTTTGAGAAAGACAACTAAAATCAAAATCATCTAATTCTATTGCAGCACACTATTAAAATGGTTCTGTTTTATTAGTTACTGGTGCTCATCTTTTTCTGTGCCTATCTTTAAACTTTATCCGAGGCATGTATGCCCAGGAAAAAAATATTACTATTATTATTAGCCATTATTTCAAGCATGCCTGAGGAATCTGGGGAAATATTCCCTACAAGCAAGCTTGTGTGTGTGTGTGTGTGTGTGTGTGTGTGTGTGTGTGTGTGTGTGTGTGTGTGTGTGTGTTGCAGTAATAACATTCTGACTTACAGGTTTGCTGTGATTAAATGAATGAACAGAGATAGTATTTGGAATACTGCCCAGCACACAGCCCAGTTACTATTAAATATCACGCCTATCGTTACTTCCACCATGAGTGCCAGTGACAGATGAGAGATGCCACCAGAGTATTGACTGTTACACAGTGGCTCTCTGCTCCTTCCAAAGTCCCTCTGTGGGGTCCTCTGGACAGGTTCTCTAGGGGAATCTCAGCAGCCCTGGTCTTTCTGCCTTGAATCAAACAGCCTGTGGCTGAATCTTGTCACAGGCTGCAACTCTCCAGTGGCAGGCTATACTACACAGACTCAGCAGGACCAGCAGCTACCAACTCACACTAAGGAAGGGGTGGTGGCTGTTTCATGTGGACTTGCCACTTACTGGAAACCATGCTGGGTTGTTTCTTAGCATGCGGATCCTGTATCCTACAGTCCCTTGCACAAGAGAAGGTCCTGAGTGTCTTCAGATGTGTTTTAGAAATACCAATCGTAGTGGTGCAGTCAGTACCGCCTACTCCTAGTCATAGGGAGTAGCTAGAGAGGCATGCGACACAACCCAGAGAAACCAGGATCAACCTGGTTTCTGATGCAGGATTGAGGGAAAATACTGTCTTCTCTCCTGATTTGTGCAACCCTGACCTCCCATGGTCATTTTGCTTCTCTGCCACCAGAGGCAGGATTCTAAGCCATATTGTCAGGTGGTGAAGGTTCATCTGAGCCAGGTCTCTCTGCAGACTTCATTCTCTCAAGCTTTATTGGCTGAGGTAGGTTTTCCTGTTACTTGCAACCCAAAGCATCCTGATGATGCCAGTCACTGTTCCTAGCTCAGCTACTTCCCACATTTTACAAGATTCATTGTCACCGTCCCACCACGCGTCCATGTTACTGCTGACACTGTGCACCCAAACTATCTGTACTTGAAATTAAGAACTTGAGGGCTTTTGCTAGGAAATAAGCCAGTTCTCACAGCCAGAACCAGATGATCTTTCCAGAAAATCTAAAAGATCCTACCCAACTTAGTGTTCTTCCCAGCTCTTACCGCCCTTCTAGCTACCCAGTATGAAAAGGTCACAGCCTCTCCTTCTAGTCTCCATTCTCATTTCCTAAGGCAAAAACTCCATTTTTAGATGCTTCTGGAATTAGCAAGTAAACCTGGATCAACTTAGAAAACCCTGCCTCTCTCTTGAAACACTTACAAGGGAGCCAAACAAAACAGAACAGAACAAAACAGAAAACTACAAGCCTTTCATCCCTCTCTTTCCCATTCACCTGGCTTCTGTTCAAAGGACACAATGGGCTACACTCGATGCTCTTTGCTGTTCAAGAGTGGTTCTCTCTGAATGACCTAGTGAGAGTGCAGGAAGCTGGCTGGCCCAGAGGTCCTGCAGCCTCCACCCTGAGGTGTAACTCACTGATTTCCCCCAGGGCTTCCCTTACATCTGGGTGATCAAGATGGCAGCTACATTAGGGAACATTGGCCACCATGCTAAAATTAACCACTTTAGCTAAAGTGTGTGTTAATTATGGGTATGCAAGCAGTCAATAAAGGTTAATGCAAAAGTCAAAGGATAAATTTCTTCCCTTATCGCGTCACTTCACAGACTAAATGACTAACATTATACTTTGTGTTTTTAATCAATAGGTTTTACAGTAATGTGCTGGCCATTGATTTTAAGAAAACACATATGATTCTTTCTTGTCCCTAAATTTCGCAACAAATAAAGAAGGACAGGTAACATTTCCGACACGCTCCAGACAATGATAAAGTTTCAGGACAAATGGTTTCTGCTAATAGAGTCACGAGGACAGA